GAGAGAACTCAGAAGGAAACACCCAAGAGGCAACGTTGTCATTAGCAAAGCCGAGTGCCGCAAAGAAAACACCCTTGGAAGTTGCTTCCCTCTGGGTTTAGCCTTTGCTCCTCTCCTCTGAGTTGTGGCTCAGCTGTAGCAAACCCACGGATCTCCTGCAGCTTGGGAGCATCCACACCGATGCCTTCCAGAAGCACGGGGGCCGCCCCTTGCTCCCTGCCTGCCTCGGGGGGCTGGGGTAGCCTCTACCAGCATTCATCACTCAGCAAAGCCATGCAATAGGTCAGGACAGGAATTAAGACAGTTCTCATTCGGTTTCTGCATATAAATAGCACTGTGAATCTGAGATCCCTCCCCGGGACCCTCCTGGCGTGCTGGGGCGTTTCGGGAAGCAGGGCACGATGTCTCCTGCCCTTCCAGGGGGGTTCATGCTCGGTGAATCAAGCCTGGTCCTCCCCTGCCGGGGCGGCGAGGCGGCCTGTTTGCTCTTTCAGTTTTGTTTTACCTCATTTTGTTTATTTGATACTTGAAGAAGCGTCAGTGGTGGACATTGTACAGTGGTGCCCTGGACTGGAGGTGGATGCACTTTATCGTCACCTGTGTACCCATCCGAGCCCCAGCAAGGTGTCCTTGGTGGCAGCAGAGCCAGCGTGGGCTGGTTCTTCCAAAACCCTGTCTAGGATGTTAGGGAGCAATCTCTGTGTTTTAGTGTGGGGTTTTCACATCCTGTAGGAACTTGAAGTCATGTTCTGCTGTCAGAACCCAGTGAAAAATGCAGCTGGAATTGTGCTAGGCAGACTTCGGTTTGCCTGTGCCGTGCCAGCAGGAGACAGCAGAGGTTGGGCAGCTCCCGCCTCCCTCCCCTGTGGCTCCCCTGTTCCAGTGGGTTACCCTGCTGGAATCTGGAGTCACTGCAGCCCTGGCAGGCTGCAGCATCCCTCCCTGCTGGATCTGCTCCAGCATCGCTTCAGGGCTGCTAATGGAGCAAATTGAAAGTCACCCCCAGTAAAGTGACACTAATGTAAAATCTGGAGTAGTTCCACTACTGTCTGTGCGAAAATGAAGTCCCCCTCCAATGGTGGCACCGGGTTACTGACAGCAGGATGTGCTTTCTGGGCTGATGATGATGCTTTTGAAACAACTTGCAGAGAAACGGAGCGGTGAGATGCAGCAGTGTGGTGTGGCCTTTGAGATCTGCTCTTGGCTCCCAGCAGCTGGGACACAAGACGTGGTCACAGGCTGTTTTGCTTATCTGTGAAACCATCAGCATTCTTTTTTCCTTTTTCTTTATGAATTCTGTTCAAGATAATCATAAAAAAAAAGGGGGGGGAAAAGACCAGGGGCTGGATCCTGTTCTGCAGTATGGGATTTGCTCCCGGGTTAGAAAGCAGTGTTAAGCAAACATGAAAGGCAGTGGGCACGAGGGCTGGCAGCGCTGCAGAGCCGGCTCCGATCTCAGCCCCCGGCAAGCCAAGGAAATCCCCAGGGATGCCCAGAGCAGCCCTCTGCTGCTGCAGAGGACTTCCTCTGGCTCTGCCCTGGTATCAGACACCCAGGCTCCGGCTGGGACTGTGGCAGAGCAGCTCAGTGGCGTTTCCCACCTGAGAGCTGCTGAAACGAGCCCCAGGCTGGGCTCCCTGCAGCAGCAGCCCTCCCCAGCCCAGCCCGCGGTGGCTTTGCTGGCACAGCATCACCCTGGCTGGTGGGCAGGGCAGCACGGCCCTCCCCAGCCCAGCCCGCGGTGGCTTTGCTGGCACAGCATCACCCTGGCTGGTGGGCAGGGCAGCACGGCCCTCCCCAGCCCAGCCCGTGGTGGCTTTGCTGGCACAGCATCACCCTGGCTGGTGGGCAGGGCAGCATGGCCCTCCCCAGCCCAGCCCGTGGTGGCTTTGCTGGCACAGCATCACCCTGGCTTCCTCCTGCTGAGTGATGCCAGGTTGGTGTGATCCGCCCTCCCTCGCTCCGGGCGCTGTCCTGCCCGCGCTTCTCCCACCTCGTGCTGAGCCAGCTGCCACGGAGTCGCCCGACTCTGTGGCCCTTCCATTGAAAGTCCATTTCCTATTATTTGTGTTCGTTTTTTTTTTTTTTTTTTTTTTTTTTAACATCATAGGAAACCTGTAGTCGGGATTGTT